CTTAATTAGTTTGAGGGGATGAAAGTGCCCACGTAATGCGCTTTCGCTATGTGTAAAGGATGTCACTGACAACTTTTGTGTATTTCATCAGGCAAACCTTTTGTTTTTCATGGGATTATCAGATATTCAAAATCTTTAGCCCCGACTTGTAATTATCCACACAGCAAGGACACCTCAAAGCCCTTGTATGGAATTTTCGTTCAAGCATCTCTCCTATTAATGGCTGAAAATCACCACTTCCTTCAATCCAATTGTCGCGCCTTTAGCATATACTGAGTAAAATACTAAAGTTGCGATAGTCAATATGGATCAGAGGCTGTACATTTTCTTGGAGTTTCATGTATTGGTAACAATATGAAATTGTGACGTGCTAAAATGGACATGATTATCCATTTACCCACGAGTCAACATGGGCCCACCCAGTGGCGGAGCTTATAGTGTGTGCTGGGGAAAATATCAGGTGATACCATGCCTTAGGTGATACCATGATACGAGCTGCTGGTCCCTTGGATCTTAGATCCAACGGCTCCTGGAGAATCTGAAAGGCTATCGTACTTGTTTGCAATTTGTTGACTTCAAAAGGTATTTTTTGCAGAATGTTGAAGAGCTCGTATCATGGGAGCATTTAAGCCCCGATATCACCTGATACTCACAAATGCCAGATATTACAGTCCATGATTTAACCCCCGAGAGATTCCCGTAATCATCTGTCCCGGCCCACCGCGGGTACGTTCCTGCGCCGCGCAGGTCCGCGTCGGTGGCTTCTGCGGTTCTGCTCGCCAACTTGGACACAGACTCTTCCCTTCCTCTCCGCCTTTCCCGCTCCGGTTTTATCCGTTGCATCATCGCCGCACAACATGGATGCATGATGACGACGGCGCAGCGCCGCCGCCACATGGTTCACTAGCTACTCTGCACGCGGATGCACCCCGCTTTCAGTCACAGCCCGGTGTGGCAAGAGAATTAGAACGCGAACTCTCTCCTGCGCTCTGATAAAAACTTGCGTGATTCAATCTGGACAAGCGTACTAATTCATCTGCCTGATGTCTCGAGCTCTTAAACATTGCGTTCATCTTACACATTGCTTGAGTTTCTTAGACATTGCATTCATCTTTTTTGCAGGGAAAATATATTTCATCAGATAGGAATACTGACCGGTGGATGATTTACTACCACATCAATCCTGTGCGAGTTTTTCTTTTCTTTTCTTTTGCGAGTAATTCCTCAGCCAAACGGCTACTCTACCCTGGAAGGCTGGAACCTGTATCCATCAAGTCACTGTATTCGCCTTGGCGAAATATAGCACATGTATAGTGCAATACATCATGTCATTTTCGTTGCAAGAGGCAATTCGTAAAAAAAAATCATTGCAAGAGGCGAAGAAATACCATGAGAGAAATGGTGACATGACGCCTTATATTTTGAAAATGAGTGAATTCCGGCTTTTACCCCCTAATTAACCATTTTCGACACTATTTGCCCCATTTAACAAATTTTCATCCAGATTACCCCATTTAGTGACAATCTTGTCTGTTCTTACCCCTTTTAAATTTTAAGAGCCTTCTTGCAAAGATCATGTTAATTTTACTTGAGACTAAGTGCCCAAATGTACATTTTTATAAAAACAAAAAATCCGATCCTATTATGCCAATAACTTTTTTTTTGCAAGAATCATGTAAAACTGGTAGTACTAATTTTCAATGGAAACACATCATTGGAGCCCACTAAAAAACACATGTACGACAATAGCACTGCAGACATGTAAAATAGACTGGTGTTTTTGTTTGATGATCTCCCAAAGCTTAAAATAAGTGGTTCCTCCGATGTTTTGCATCAAAGAAGAAAACTAAAATATCATCACATTAAACCTAGGAACCGAGTACGAAAGTGTTACGCGCCGGGCACGACCTCATCTGGCGCTCCCGCGAGCGGCAGGGGAGGCAAACCCTACCGCCGCCGCCAGGCCCCCTCCTCCCTCCCTTGCTGCCGCCAGAGTCCGCGGCGGAGCGACGCCCCGCCGGTGCGTAGGCGGCTCGTGTCGGCCTTCGATTCCTCTCCTTGTCGTTCGGGCACTACTTTGGTCGAAGGATTGGACCTCTCCAAGCTGCGGTCCATCGCTCGTCTCGCGCCCGATAGCAGGAGCGACCTCGTCTCACGCCCGGCAACACGACCGACCTCGTCTCATGCCCTACAACACGACCGAGCTCGTCTCGCACCCGGTGCAGCAAGACGGGTCGATGGAGGCTAGTTTTGGCTAGCCTATTGGGTCTCGGCGCTGGGGGCTACCCAGGGGTGTGAAAGGCGGGGCCTTTCCACTCGTCTCTTTTGTTGGGGTACCAGTGGGTCTCGGGTGAGGTGGTGTCAATGTCTTGGATGCCAGGGCGGTGGCCCTGGTGGTGGTAGCACGGTGCACATGGGTAGGGCACGTGGCTTGGTGTTGCCCGGTGGCCATGGCCGGGTGGGCGGCGTGGTCGCCGGGGTGTGGCGTACGGTGGCGGTGAGTGTTGATCGGGGTGAAAACCTGTTCGATCTTCAGACGGACCGACGGCGGCGAAACTCGTTCCCTTCCTGAAGGCATCGTCGCGGCTCTCATTGCCCATCGTGTTGCCCCAGGGGAAACTCTGATCCTCAGGTCGGGTGGTGGTGGCCCTCTGGTATCGTAACCTTCCTGAAGGTGCCATCTTGGAGCCCACGGTTTGTCATATGCGGCTTCATCTCTTCGCGATGGCGTGTTCACGGTTGAGGACCCTAGTTGCTCTTGTAGTGTTAGGGATGGTGTTGTTGTGCTCAACGCCTATGTATCATGCCTTGGTGTGTGCATGTGGGACGAAAGCTTTTTTCGGTAACCTACAAACCACAACCCACAATGCAAAATTGAACGTACTTGACCGCTGAAGATAACTATTCCTCTTTCCCTCGATGTGGTGCGCACCTACCTGACAGCCATGAGAAAAAAACTGGGTGCGGCTAAACCAAGTGACCTGGTCGGGCGTTGGAAAAAATGCCAAAAAATCTGATGGCAGGGAGTTAGCAAGCAGATCACTCTCAAAAACCTTACTGGGTAAAAACTGGCAAGACTTTTGCTAAATGGGGTAATTAGGATGAAAAAATGTTAAATGGGGTAATTAGTGTCAAAAATATGGAAGTAAGGGGTAAAAACTGGAATCCACTCTTTAAAAATTTAGCAAGAGTTGTACTAACCGGCCAACATAACTGGTTTGAAGCAATGAAAGCGCCCACATAATGCACTTTCCCCAGTAAATACGATTACTTTTATAGATCTTATCATACTCTCTCCATTCCAAATTGCTTAAACTTCTAATCTTGTCTCTTGTTCAAAATATCTAGATTTCTAGTTTTTTCTCTGAGTTTCTCATACATTGTATTTTTTTAGAAACAGTTATTACAACGCGGACATGCATGCAATATGCAAACACTCACACCGTCACATAGATGAACCCACATGTCGTCTACTGAGGACCGGATTGGAGTTATGGAGATTCAAGATTAACAAAGTTACTGTAGACGTCTCGCTATCAACGAACATCGGCTCCCGTTTAGAAAATAATATGTATTAATAAGACACCAAAACGTTAAACCTAGGATTTGATCCTTAGTGAGCTGAGATACCATCTCCCTCCTAACCACCCAATCACTAATTGGTTCTCCCTCAAACATTACATTGATCTCAATAAAATCATTCTTGATGAAACATAGCACATGTATAGTGTCGTAAATCATGTCACTTCCGCCACGCGAAACAGAGATATGTTGATTTATTTTCTGAAGTAGTCGCGAGACAAAGAAACTGTGACATGACACTTTGTATTTTAAAAAATCTACACGTTTTTTGTGAGGATTGTTACTAAACACTAACCGTCCAGCCTAATTGGTTTGAGGCATTGAAGGTCCCCACGTAATTCGCTTTCGCCGTGTAAAGATGAAAAGGCAACGGCTCATTTTGTTTTTATTATTTGAGGATGGGGTGTCGACCCATTGGCTGGGCAGCTGAGATTGCTGCCAGCCCATCTGAGTACGAATCCCGACTCGGACATATGATGCTTGTGGAGTTTCTTCTATAAAAATGTCAACGAGGATTAGCCCTTAAGTTGGTTTTTTTATTATTATTTGAGGGTTTATCAGGTTCATCATTTAGTTGTGATTCGGAATTTTCTACGCCGCAAAACACCTCAAAAGGCCCCTCTCTCTCTCTCTCTCTCTCTTTCACGGATTTTGGTTGAAATGTTCCAACTATAATTCCATGGCCGCCACTTCACTGCATTTTCTTGGAGTTTCATTTACTCGCAAAATACGAAATTCTGACGCGCTGGAGCGGACACGATTATCCGTTTATCCAGACGCGTCAACACTGCACCAACCATTCATCTCTCTACCACAACCCGTGTGGTCTTGTGGGCTACGAAACCAAAACGTTCCTGTTACTGGTGGTAGCAACTAAGGAGTAGCAAGAAGGCCACGACGGTGACTGAACTGAACCCGCAACCTCCACCTGATGCTTATCTGGATTTGGACTTATCTTATCTTGTTGCCCAGTCACAGCTTCTGATTCACCAGAGCACTTTCTTGCGCCACGTCACATTCTCACATTGTTCCGATCCTGATAGTGCAGACGTGCAGTGTCCAGCACCAAAATGGGGAAAGAGAATTTTGCCTCTTGCTGATGAGTCCCAGCTGGGGTCATTTGCAAACCATCACAGTAAAATTCAGAACAACGACGGAAGCAGATTCATCCACAGATAACATAACATTATGGCTGGAACAACATTTCCTGAATCTCTACGCCCTAACATCTCTAGTACAGTAACAAATATACTGATCCATGTTCCATAGGTACGACACGTTGGTTAACACAGACATCACCGACAAACAAACACCTGATGATACTCTCCACTCCTTACACCCAGACATGGGCCGGCACAGAAAACGCGAAACACTAAGCTCTTGAACACCTGAAGTGAACATATCGACCACTGCATCGGCTAGACAGGGTGGCTGCTGGAAGGGATCGCGGGTGAATTGCCCGTGCCGAACGTATGTGACTTGCACGCGAGCCTCACGGTCGTATGGATCTGTGAAGGCTCAGCCATCGCGCCGTTCCCGTAGTCGCCGCAGGCCAGCCTCTTCGTGGTGGGTGGGACCAAGGAAATCCCGAGTTGGTTGATCGTCTCGATGTGGCGCGCCGTGAACGGGTTGTTCCACATGAAGGTGTTCATGGCTGGAGCGGCGAAGATCGGCTTCTTGTAGTCCCACGCCCGCACTATGCATGTCAGGAGGTTGTCGCATAACCCACCAGCGATCTGTGAAACTAATGAAATGTCAGCTTGTGCTGGGACAAGAGCAGCTTGCTGTTCTCTTAACTGATTCAGGGATGCGACATCGAATCTAACGGTTCATGGAAGAAGAGATTACAGACCTTGGCCAGAGTGTTTGCTGATAAGGGGGCGATCACCATGATGTCTGCCCACTTCCGCAGCTCTATGTGCAGAACCTCGTCTCCTATCTTCGTCCAGGTAGACCACTCATCATCATCAGTGTAAAGAATGACGTCGCTAGGCAGAGATGATCTCTCAATAAAGTGCAATGATGACTTGGTCGCCACAGCTCGGACTTCCGCCCACTCGGAGAAGACACGACAGAGGCTCTCGAATTTTATAGCAGCTACACTCCCTGAAGCAGCAAGGAGGACCCGAGGCCTACTGGGTTCCAGCTCCCAGCTTTCCTGTACCGGTTCTGATGTAGCCATCTGCTTCACTTGGATTGCTCAACTGCATTTGAATTACAGGTATTCAGAGGATTTATGCTGGTACAGGAAAACATGATCCACAGTGCATACTCTGGAATCAAAATAAAGAAAATCAAGAGGAAAAATCGTTCCGAAGAAGCAAACAATATTTGTGTTGTCCCAAAATTCAAGCGGCCCTGAAATATATCTAGTATCGCTCAGAGAATGATACGTCTTCATCTGTTTTATCATCAACACAGAAATTAAGTATTGTCGGTCTGACTGGTGCAGTTTGGTTGCACTGCATGCGGGAACACATTCACATCCATAAAAACATAATTAATAGCTCGAATTCATCATTTACATCTTCTAATAGGGTCAAATGTACATTTGAGAGAAGTAGACACTGGAACGGCAAGGTAACACGAGATAATCAAACTAATAATCTGACACCTGATGTTACTATCAATATAGCATACATTCTGTATCTGAAGACCAAATGTGTACATGCATTCACAAGTTCCTGTATGATAATTGTCGGATTTCCCAGGTTTATGTTACGAAATAAATCCAACGCTACCATGTTTCAGCTACTTCAGAAGCTCATGTCCAAATAAGGAAGTTGCATCTAGCATTTCCTGGGTTATTTTTCACACACACAAGAACACCATGCGGATGGAACTTGTTGTTTCCTTTCTACAATTTTACCATATTGACATTTGGGCTCCAATGCTAGTCGTCATAATTAACAATTTGGCATTTTCTACAGTTTGCAGTATTTGGCTGAGTGTGGTTGACTCTTGATGGTTGCTGGAGATGCTGGGACTTTCGTACTCTCATCAAGTCAATGATGGATGCATGGCATGAAACCATCAAAGATATTGTTGGTATGATTCAAGTTTCTAAAATTAATAAGGAATTCTGGTAACCAGAACTTAGCAAAGCTAACCAAGACTATCAAAGTTGTGGTGGCTGTGATTGCACATCCACGATCATCGTGGCAAGTTACCACAGAAGTCAGCCCACCAAAAACATGGTCGATATCTCCCGACAGATCAGATTGGGACCGGGTTGTTTCTGCATAGTGCATTTTGGATAATAATGCACATTCGGGAAAGGTGATTTCCACCTGATCTACGGAAACATTCGGATATCCAACTATAACTTGCTTTTCCTTTGGAAACAGCAAAACAATCTAATAAATTCAAGCAAAACCAGGTATTCACGCTTACGTATTTTGTACTAAAATAATAATTATTGTTTAACTGCTTGATCCAAATTTACTTGCTCAATTAAAATCTTTTAAATCGTAGAAAATAAAACTGGTCTAATAGTTCAAATGCTTCAAATTTTTGGCACTACTTCAGATGTACAGGACTATGCTTATGTCTGAACTATGTCAAACTTACTATGTGTAGTGTAAAAGTTTAGCAGCCAAGTGCTAACCTAACATATTACTCCCTCCGTCCCATAATATGCTCTTATATTATAGGACAGAGGGAGTAGAAGTCTCCCTAGATTGTAATCAAAATATAATACATATGATAGCAAAGGTACATATATGTCTGGCACGGCTATGTAAGGGTTGACAGATCGACTCCCAACCAAATACATCAAAGGAAGAACTAGGGCGCTGGACCTACCCACTCCGGTTCCTTCCCTAATTCCCTTCCCTGGAGACCCTTTGGTGGCCGACCCATTTCTGTTGCACAACAACAGCAATTGCTGCCATTTGTCTCAAATCACACACACGAAACTGCTGCCATCTAATGTAACTTGCATTTTGCAAATCCATGAAGCATATCAACATATAACTTACATTTTGTATGAAAACTGCATCAGAAAAGCCACTAGTCTGGGCATAACTACCCTATGATTCTTTGTAAGGCTGGAGGACACATGAAGCAGATCCAAATGGCTGCCCACGAATGTAACTTGCATTTTGGAATCACACGAAGAGAATCAACATATATCCTGACATTTTGTATGAAATCCACTAGCCCTGTATTTGGGGACGAAAAGCCACCGGTATTGGCAATAACTACTCTGTGATTCTGTATAAGCATGGAGGCTACAGGAAACAAATCCAAAAGGAAAATATATTACTGCAGCAACTTATGGGCCCATTTCTCACAAATTACGGCGACCGCAGCGGCGGCAGAGATTCAGAGTCCAGGATCTACTCACCTGAGAGGCGATTTGGTAGGAGCGTGGGCAAATAAGCGGTTGAAGACGGCGGCGGCGGCGGGAGGGGTCGGAGGGCGTCGTCGGCCGGCGGTAGGCGGAGGCGGAGGCGGCGGCAGCGACCGAGGCTGCCGGGAGCGGCGCGCCGCGGGCGGAGGGGAACTGGGAGCGACTGGAGGCGCTGGCCGCTGTGGAGCGTCGGGGCTTCGACTGGTCACTTCTCACTTGGTCAGACTCGGACTGGACTGGGCAGGGTCGTCGCTGGTCCGCTGTTGGGCCTTCCAGGCCGAAATCCTTCTCCCCTGCAGATTGGTGCTTCGGCCCTCTTTTACCAGGCCTGGTCGATCATATGAGTGCAAAAATATTGAGCAGAGCCTTCTCAAAAAAATATAAAATGGAGTAGACCTTTTTTTTCTTTTTTTGAGAACCTCGAAAAAAAGAGATAAAATGGAGTAGAATACACCAACAAAACATTTTGTAGAAAAAAATTTCCCAAGAAAGTATACAATATGAGAAACCAAATCATCAATTCGTGAATTTAGAGAGTTTTTGCACGACCGAGCCAAAGAAATAAATAATATTTTGGGTATATTCAGATATGTGCATCAGCCCTTTGAAGCAGAAGGAGCAATTGCGTGAAAGAAATGGCACTCTCTTTACAATGGTGCAACTCCCTTGTGATTGTTGAATCAGATTGCCTTGTATTGGTAAAGATGATAGGCAACAAAAATGGAGTAAGATTTTGCATCTCAATGCTGAAAGAGAATTTTGCATTACTCGTGTTAGCACAAGCCTGAACACTTGTAGCGGTTACATGCCTATGTAAAAAAAAAGACGCTAATCCCCGGCGAACGTTCGTT